CTACATTTCGTGCGTCGTTTTTGTTTAAACAGCGTTAAGTGTCGAGCGGTAAAAGTTGCTATCTCTCATCCTGTGTACGTTGTTTTCGTGCGTAATTTGTGCGTGAGCAGCGCACTGCACTTTTTTATCTGCTTGCCGTTTTCAGCGTTACATTCCAAGTTGTTGCTATCGCATTCATTGCTTCGCTCTTGCAGCGAAACTGTGACTTCTTTATCTCTGCTTTAGCTGCATTCGTCACCTTGCACAACCAAGAAAAGGGACGTGCCCCCCCTCCCTCTTCCTCGAAATATGTTTTTGCCATGGCATATATATAGCTCAATATTACCATTTGCATGTGCCCCCCTTCAGATCAAGGTACCCCCCCCCCCCCCAAAAAAAAAAATAATTTTTCTTTAACCTACGGCCTTTGCGATAGCAAAGACCGGTCGAGAATGTCCTTGTAATTGCTATCGCAATAAAAAGAAAATAGCTCTTACCTTCTAGTCTTAGGTGTATGCATAAGGTAGCCTGTGATGTCTTTTTTTTCTTTATGCACTGCTTTCTAGAACACTACCGGGGGTTTTTGGGGTATAGACAAAGTGCGCTAGCCACATAAAACATTGTTGCAAATGGAAAACAAAGTTTGTTAAATTGTGTTGTTTCAGCATAGAGAGATGAGTGCCAGGGGAGGTAGGCTTTATGAGACTAGCTAAATGACGTCATGTTAAGCCCAGCAGTATAATCGGTTGCGAAGAAAAAAAAAAAACACCTTTCATTATCCTTGGAATCGTCTGAGGGAAATGCAGTTGCGACTGTGTGAGATGATTTATTTATTTATTATTTATTTACACTTCACCTACATCGCTGTGAGGCATTACGTAGGGGAGGTACACATAATAATTTGACTACATAGTTTTTAATCGAAACAATAGATTCAACAAATAAAACAGCACTCAAAATATTTTAAGAGAAGAAAAAAAAAAAACTTGAATATTGGTGAGCAAAAACGTCACAGTCATGCATTTGTAAACACCCACATGCTTCGAGACAGCAAACCATTCTTAGTGGCAGTGATATTGTAGGAGTTGTTACAAGGAAAAAAAAAAAAGGATTCATTATCAGTTCCATTGATGAGATCATCCGGTAGACGGTTCCATTCCTGTAATGTTTTTACGAAAAAAGAACTACTGAAAGAGTGGGTTTAGACTCCAACCGAAAGTTTTGAAGTGCTTTGAAGACGTCGCTGCTACGTAGTTTCCGCAGTCACCTCTGAGGAAGGAATCAAATCGGTTTCAAAACGTCGGGTTTCTTTAAAACCTTTGGTTGGAGTCTAAATCATCTCCCAGTTTCATAGCCAACCAGACAGACTTCTGTCGAATGTTTACATTCAAATCAATCAGCCAAGACTTCGGACATTATACCATGCTGCTCGTCAGGCGTTACATACGCATTAAGAAAGGCATCTCAGTCTTCAAGACTCATCTCGACTTCAGCCGCACCTGCAAAGAAAGGAAAGTCGTTCCTCAAAGCCTGCGCCTTAAACGATCTGTCTCGACCCCTGAAGGCTTGGAACTCATCACGAAAGGCGAACAACGACTGATCAACGCCCGCCTTCATGAAATTAACGCCTCTCTACGGAAAAAAAACATTGGACCTGTTCTTTGCCAAGCGTCAACTTGAGCACCGCATCCCTGAGTTGATGTCTGCGGTCGACGCGTTCACGTACTCTGTTGTGGCATCGACGACAAAAAAGCATCGGACCACTCAGGATAAGAAACTCTCCTATCTGTTGGACCAGAGTTCCAGCCAAAGCATCTAAAATTCCAGGTTTATCACCAATCTTTCATCTCGTCCACTCACTGATCGAGAAACTTCTGTTCTGGCAAAGGGACAGGGCTATAACATCTCAACGACGCCCCGTCTACCGAAACTTGTCGGGGCTGTAGAGGAAGCCGTCCAGAGCGTGAGGCCGGGCGCCAGAGAAGAAATTAGGCTGAAATCAATTGGGATCTTTTCGAAATTGTTGTCACAAAGGAAAAAGAACTTGACCATAGAGGAGAACCAGGCACTTAGGGAACTCCGACGAGATCGGAGAATTGTGATCTTGCCCACCGACAAGGGTGATTTGACAGTGGTGTTTCGACTACGATTGGAAGGTTTCAGCTCTTCTAGAAGGGGACACATACACGCAGGTAGTAAAGGACCTAACGAAGCAAACGGAGACACAGATAAACAAGCTACTCGCGAAAATTTTCGAGCATTACCCGGATCTCAGAACACTTTACATGCGACTAATCTGCCGTAACGGATCCGCACCGAGTTTCTATGGACTACCGAAAATTCACAAGCCTGACGTCCCTTTCCGACCAATTGTAGAGTTCACTTCCTCCCCATGCTGAGCCCTTCAAATTTTGTACCCCGAATCTTCGCCCCACTAACACGGAAGACACCAACTCATTTGCGTGACTCCAGCCACTTCGTGGAGCTAGTGCCAGAGGTGAGCATAGACGATGACGAGAGCCTGGTCTCATTTGATGTCGTTTCATTGTTCACCAACGTGCCAGTTCTCTTAGCTGTCTCCTCTGCCCGTTCTACGCTTGAGGGGAACACAAGCTCGAGTGAAAGGACTCCTTTTACGGTTGACGAGCTCTGCCGTCTACTGGAGTTCTGCCTGTCCAGTACGTACTTCTCCTACAAAGAAACTATTTTCAGGCAGAACAGTGGAACCGCGATGGGAGCTTCCATCTCCATCACGATGGCAAACCTGGCTATGGAGTATATAGAAGAGAAAGCACTCAGTTTCTTCTCCCCACGACCCAAGCTTTTTCTGCGTTATATGGACGATTGCTTTTTGTGACAGGAATACGTCTGACGTTGAAAACTTTTGACAACACCTAAATTCTGTGCACCCTGCCATACAATTCACGATTGAGTGTGAAAGCGACCACTGCCTGCCCTTTCTCGACGTCCAGGGGGCAAGAAAGCGCAACGGCCTGGAGTTCTCCGTTCATAGGAAGCTAACGCACACTGGCCGCTACTATCTATTTTATTCTTCCCACCCCGTTTGCTACATGGCCTCGGTTGTGCACGCTACTCGAGAGAGCTAAGAACTTATGCTCCAATGACACAGAGCGAAAGAAAGGAGAGGCCCACTTAATTGCGAACCTCAGAAAAAACAGATCCCAAAAAACTTCATTCGAGCCGCCACCCGCCACGCAGAGCAACAGAGGGGACGAAAACCCCAATCAACCTTAATTGGCACCCCCCGAAACGCGTACCGGTTCCATACGTTCAGGGAACCAGCGAGATGTTGGCAGGGATCTTCAAGAAGGAGGGGGTTTGCATCGCGCAAGTGCCTTCACGTACGCTGGGCCGCCTTTCCTCCCTCCCCCCCAAAAACCGGCCAACAATGGACAGGACCCCCGGTGTTGTTTACGAAATTCCGTGCGCCGAGTGCCCCTCTTTTTATATTGGCGAGACGAAAAACCTACCAGAGCGACTGAATCAACACGCCAACGATGTGCGGAAGTTCTACAAAGAGCGCAGCGCAGTCGCCGAACATGCTGAGACGTTGGATCACCGAAAAATTTCGAAGCGATGACCATCCTTGAAAGCGAATCGAACTGGTGGAGAAAGTTATTACTCGAGTCGTGGCGCATATGGAGGACAGCCCATAATATCATCCGCTCTCTCGGAACTCTTCTCTCAGTGTATACACAAGGATTGCGCCCCACGGCAAAACGAGAGTGAGAGAGAGGTGTCATTATACGTCCCGCGAGTGCTTTGAAGACGCCGCTGCTTCGTAGTTTCTGCAGTCACTCCTGAGAAAGGAACCAAGTCGGTTTCGAAACGTCGAGTTTCTTGAAAACTTTTAGTTGGAGTCTAAATCATCTCCCAGTTTCATACCCAACCAGACAGACTTCTGTCGAATGTTTACATTCAAGTTGCGACTGTGTGTGTCTCTAGTGCTGTATGTCACAGTGTTTGTCTATATATACTGATAACACACAGGTGTTTAGAATGTTATTTCACGGCTGTGGCGGCTGCATTTCTGGTGGAGGCAGAAATGTTGTAGGCCCGTGTGCTCAGATTTAGGTGCACGTTAATGATCCCCAGGTGGTCAAAATTTCTGGAGTCCTCCACTACGGCGTCTCTCATAGTCATATGGTAGTTTTGGGACATTAACCCTCACATACCAATCAATCAGAATGTTATTTCATGAAGTATAATTTTATTCATGCGGTATTCCGTTCATATGCTATGAAAATAATCACTGATTAAGTTTTTCTGAATGGCCAACATAATGATGCTATTACTTTTGCATCATCTAAATTGGGGAGTGCTCCTAAGATGACTGGCTTCATGAGATTTGAAATTAATGGAAATATTTCATAGGAGCTCCTCATAGGAGACAAATTATTATTATGAAATAATTATTCATGCCCTTGAATGGAAATGCAATTTGCTTCTCCTCCAGGATGCTAAGTTAGCTGCTCCAGATTGCTCCAAAATGGAAAATTTTGCTTCTCTCAATGTGCTCCGAAATGAAAATTTTGCTGCTCCAAAATGCTCCAAAATGGAAACTTTCGCTGCACCAGAGTGCTTCAAAATCAAAATTTCCCTGCTCCAAAAATTGCTCCAAATCAGAAGACCTCGGTGGCATCGCTGAAACCTGTATGAACCTTGTGCTTAGTAATTGCACGACAATTTAGGACGGTAGACCTAAAGTCATGTATGCACCTGAAGAAAAGCTTGGCTGAGTGGGTGGGTAATACATCTTCGACAACTTGCATCGATAGTTAGACAAGGAGAGGTGAAAGAAGGCTGTGCTGTGATCCTTCATTGATCTTCATCTAATTAGTGCTGTGGATGGTTGTAAATGTCTGCATCACCACCAGGATTTTTTTCTTGTAATTTTGGTTGGCTGTGAAAGCTGCCAGGGTACAATGCTTGCAGCTTTGCGACAAATAAATCTTTGCCGTGTTGACTGCTTTTGCTCTTCTGGACGCTATTGTCTACAGAGCTCTGCTGGTGGAACGAGAGGATGGTGGGGTGATCCGATTGGACCCGACCAATCGCACGCGGCGGGAAGCGGTGGCCAAGCAGCTGCTTACTCCGACCGAGGCCCCCCAACACATATTTGCACGCTCCAAGATTGTGCACCGGCATTTGCGGCAAGGCGACATGCTGCTACTCAACCGGCAGCCAACTTTGCACAAGCCCAGCATCATGGCTCACAGGGTAAGAGCATACCTCTGCACTATAGCCTAATGATTAAGACAGCCTAACCCTTCTGTGCACTTTTGCTTGTGGGGCTATGGAGCCATGGTGAAAGAGTAATTTGGGGCGGTTGGTTGGGAATGGTCTCATTGGTCAACTGTTTCAATACAGGTTTGGCATTTAAATTTTCTTTTGCTGATCAATTCCCAACTTGTACGATATTACTAAGTGTTGATGAAATTTTCGCGGTAGCAAAACATGCTGGGTTACCTGATTATGTCGTTATTCTGGGTTCAGCTATAGTTCGAACTTTACGGATTTTATTAAATTGACATTCTTGGATCGAGGTGGACTGTATTACATTATGTGTTAATATTAGTACTTTAGTTAAACTTTGAAATCATGCTTACATTCCTATTAATTTATTTTAACTTATCATGCGTTTTTAGTGTTGGATAGTTTTAAAGGTGAACATATTTGACAGAGATCTGCCTGGCTGGGTAAAAATTAATATGCATAAAATAAGTTTTCCAGCCACTTCTAGTCAAAAGTTTCTAATGTCAGAATTAAAAGCTAAAAACTGATCCGAAGTTTTGGGACGCATGCGGTTCCTTCTTCAAAAGTGGCTGTTTGGCCAGCTCCTAAGCTTACAATTTTTCTTTTTGGTGTCGTCCTCTTCATTGTCCTTCTTCCCATCGTTCTTGTTGCTGCGGTGTTTTCTGTGCTCGTTCCGCAGACTGTGCACGTACAAGTTAAGCAGTTAATGTTTTGTGCCATAAGACTTATACAGTGGAACTTCAATTATACGTTCCTCAATTTCCTGATCAGCCGCATTCTACGACGAATCTTTTTGGTCCTGGCAAAATCACCATAGAAATAATGTAATAAAAACCTTGGTTGTACAGCACAGTTCTACGCCGATCTCGCATCTTACGACGACTTTTGGATTCCGTCTTAAAGAAAAAAAAAACACCTTTACTCAAATCAAACGTCGTCCAAATATTCAAGAGTGCAAAATTAAGAATGTGTGTTCCCCTATGTTGACGATTAGAAAAGTAGAGAGTGGGACAGTATGTCTTCTTAGATGGAAAATTCATTCTCTTAGAAGTTCATGTGCTTCCTACGCCTAGACCATGTGTGTACGTTTCCATGGTCGTTACCTAGTTAAGCTCTATCTACACAGAGTAGCTTCAGCCGGCCAAAAATTTGGTATTTCCAGGTTTTCGTTTCGTGGAAACTTTTCCTGGTCGACATACAGCTGATCTTCGCCTTTGTTGCATTCGCAGTCACAGGCTTGCACATTCATAACGGCACAAGGCAGCTGTTTTCATTGGGCAAAATTACTTCCACTTCACGTGAACGTTCATAATAACAATAGGACACCACTAGTTGCACTTCACAAGGCAGCAAATTAGAACTCGCAAACGCACGAAGGCATTCTACACCATGTTCTACGCAAACTTATGTTCCGTCGCCATTATGTAATAGAGGCGGCACTACGTCTTGACTCTCTTAACGGGAGGCTGTTGGCAACACGGTTTCAGTTTTGTTTTTCACGTGCAGGCAATTTTCGGACTTTATTCAATTTTTAAAAGTTGAAAATAGAGACTCCCTTGCTCCTGCTCCAACTTGGTAATGCTGCTATTAGCTGCCATTGGCAAGAATAATTTAATCGGCCTTCCTTGCAGAGGCGCACGTTCGTGCCATGGGCTTATTCAGGCGGTCTGTACCCGGTTTTTTGTCAAGACTGATTGTCCTTGTCTATACTCTTAGTTTCTCGATCATACGATGCCCGGATTAGACGACATTTTCGCGTGGCCCTATGAAAGTTGTATAATTGGGGTTCCACTCTAAATATGAACAGTATTGTTCGAGCAGCAGGACGGACCATGTGTGTGCAGTGTAGCTCTCTTGTAGGCATGTGTGATTAGTAAATTAGGGGTTCAAAGAGAACAGGGGTCATGGAATAATTTAAAATTCAATTAGAATAGTGTATGTATATTACACATAAAAAAAAATAAAGAGTATACAGTCGAACCCCGGTATATTGAACTCCCCAAAAAACGTTTATTATTTCGATATAGGTCCAGTGTAAGATTTGACACAAAGGCACATAATAAATTATAAGAAAAGTAGTTTATTAATATGGCGGCTTACTTGCGACCCATATTGTGGTACAAAATAGTCGCGGGTTTTCTTCTGGGTCAACGACTTCACTGCCTGCGACAGCATGCACGCCTCCACGTTGTCCAACGAGTCGGAGCAGCTGAGGCCGCTACCTTCCACATTCACGCAATAGCGCCAGACCAGTGCAAGTGCACTAATCACCTCGGAAGATGTAGGCAATGGGCCATCGTCAATTTCCTTATTGCTGTCGCTTTGGCTCGTGGTCGGCACGATCTCTGCAATGTAGTCCTCATTTTGCAGCTGACCCGTGATGGCGACATCATCGTCCGCACTGACGAACTCATTGAATGTCGATCCGTCAACAACACCCGGGAACACTTGTAAATGGCCGCTTCAACATCTTCGTACACAGCAGTGCACACAGGTCGGGTGCCACGGGCACCTGGCCTTTTGTCCGACTTGGCCCTAATGTCTGCCTTGTTCTTCAGGATAGTACTCAAGGTGCTCCTAGGAATTCGGTATGCGGCGGCGACGTCGGACTTCTTTTTACCGCGCTCGACCCGATTTTTGATTTCGAGTTTCGCGGCGAACTGCGAATTCAGCCTTTTTGCGCAAGCCATGGCGACAGCCAGCCAATACAGTTTACAGAGCAACAGGAAACACCACCAGCACAGACCACATTGGATGAGGACTCGAGGAAAACAGGCAGCTGCAGCCACTCAAGCATAAAGAAAGAAAAAATGGCACTCATTTCTACCGCCGCCGCGCCTCGAAGAAAGCACGACAGCTTCTAATTGGCTGTAAGCGCTGCGAGCGGGCTAGGATTATTTTTTGCAAGGGGGTGTTCGCCCGTGCACAGCTGGGTTTAACCAACTTTTTCTAGGGTGGCACCGTTAGTTTTCCCCACCACCACGAGAGAAAGCCAACTTGCTGGGGTACTTTTAGGCACATGGAGTTTGATGTATCAGTTGTCGTTGCTATTTTCGTTCGATAAAACACTAACTTTTGCTATATAATCTCAATGTAAATTTACCTTGTTCAGGAATTTTCGATATATGGGATAATTTGATATAAACGCGTTCGATATAGTCAGGCTCGACTATTTGTCATGACCCAACTAACCTGTTCAATTCTTCTTAATACATATTGAAAGAAGGCATGTGGAAATGTCATTCTTTTTGGTTCAAAGAAAGTGATAACCTGTGAAATACGATATCTTTCGAAATTTATTATACTTTGAGCGCATGAGCCGGTATCATCATCATCATCAGCCTGACTGCGTCCACTGCAGGACAAAGGCCTCTCCCATGTTCCGCCAGTTAACCCGGTCCTGTGCTTGCTGCTGCCAATTCATACCCGCAAACTTCTTAATCTCATCTGCCCACCTAACCTTCTGTCTCCCCCTAACCCGCTTCCCTTCTCTGGGAATCCAGTTAGTTACCCTTAATGACCAGCGGTTATCCTGTCTACGCGCTACATGCCCGGCCCATGTCCATTTCCTCTTCTTTATTTCAACTATGATATCCTTAACCCCCGTTTGTCCTCTAATCCACTCTGCTCTCTTCTTGTCTCTTAAGGTTATACCTACCATTTTTCTTTCCATTGCTCGCTGTGTCGTCCTTAATTTAAGCTGAACCCTCTTTGTAAGTCTCCAGGTTTCTGCTCCGTAGCTAAGTACTGGCAAGATACAGCTGTTATATACCTTCCTCTTGAGGGATAGTGGCAATCTACCTGTCATAATTTGAGAGTGCTTGCCAAATGTGCTCCACCCCATTCTTATTCTTCTAGTTACTTCAATCTCGTGGTTAGGCTCTGCGGTCATTACCTGCCCTAAGTAGACATAGTCTTTTACAACTTCAAGTGCACTATTACCTATCACGAAGCGCTGCTCCTTTCCGAGGTTGTTGTACATTACTTTAGTTTTCTGCAGATTAATTTTAAGACCCACCTTTCTTCTCTCCTTGTCTAACTCCGTAATCATGAGTTGCAATTCGTCCCCTGAGTTACTCAGCAATGCAATGTCATCGGCGAAGCGCAAGTTACTAAGGTATTCTCCATTAACTTTTATCCCTAACTGTTCCCATTCTAGGCTTCTGAAAACCTCCTGTAAGCACGCGGTAAATAGCATTGGGGAGATTGTGTCCCCCTGCCTTACACCCTTCTTGATTGGTATTCTGTTGCTTTCTTTATGAAGCACTATGGTAGCAGTTGATCCCCTGTAGATTTCTTCCAGAATGTTTATATATACTTCATCTACACCCTGATTCCGCAGTGTCTGCATGACGGCTGATATTTTTACTGAATCAAACGCCTTCTCGTAATCTATGAAGGCTATGTATAGTGGTTGGTTATACTCTGAGGATTTCTCTATTACCTGATTAATAGTATGAATGTGGTCAATTGTTGAGTAGCCTGTTCTAAATCCTGCTTGTTCCTTTGGTTGACTGAATTCTAATGTTTTCTTTACTCTGTTAGCAATTACCTTTGTAAATAGCTTGTATACTACAGAGAGCAAGCTGATTGGCCTGTAATTCTTCAAGTCCTTGTCATCTCTTTTCTTATGTATTAAGATGATGTTAGCGTTCTTCCAAGACTCTGGTACCCTTCCCGTCAGGAGACACCTCGTAAACAGGGTGGCTAGTTTTTCTAACACAATCTGTCCTCCATCTTTCAGCAGGTCTGATGTTACCTGATCCTCACCAGCAGCTTTGCCTCTTTGCATGCTCTCCAAAGCTTTTCTGACTTCTTCTATCATTACTGGTGGGGTGTCATCTGGGTTACTTCTAGTTCTTATAATATTAAGGTCGTGGTTGTCTCGGCTACTGTACAGATCTCTGTAAAACTCCTCCACTATTTTAACTATCCTATCCATATTGGTAGTTATTTTGCCTTCT